GTCTCGAAGGCCACCTGGGCAGGGTGCCCACAGGAGGAGGGAACTGCACGTGGCCCTAGCCGGAAGGAGGTGGCTTCATGCCCTCGAACATTCTAGAAGCCCCTTTCTGAGTGGGGCTGCTCCTAGGCCCTCTCCATCTTTTCAGATGTGACTGTAGTCACATCTCTCCAGCACTCCAAACAAGGAGAGGACAGGAATTCTTTCACAGGCAAACAGCAGGCCTCTGTGGGGAGGTCTGTAGAAAGCGGGGGCATGCTTGCAAAACCACGTGGCGTCTCTGCACTTGCCAACGGCCTTGCGCAGCAGCTCCTGGAAGGAGCACCCCAATGTGTTTGGGGAGCTGGGGCCTTTAACTGGCCAGCCCGCACTGCTGGACTCTGGCTTTGGGGGCGGGAGGGAGTGTGTTCTGGAGGAGAGTAGGGTGGGCTAGCTGCACCTCTGCCAACTTTACTTTGGGCTCAACCCGAGAATGGTTCCCTCGGCTCACCTCCACTTTAGGCCACAGTCCCCTGAGGGCTTTTGGAGGGAAGCCCCCTCACCAATGCAAGTGGGAGGGAGCAGCCCCCAGCCCCGTGCACATTCCCTGCCCTGGACTGCACATCAGGGAGCTCACCTGGCTGTGGAGTTGCTGCAGCTCTTCTAGGCTTTGCCTCAGTTTACCCCTCTCTCCCTCCATGAGCTCCCTTAGGGCTCTCGAGTCCTCACTGGTCTGCCTTATCTGTTCTTCTAGGGAGTCATCCTCAATCCTCCGGGAACTCTGAGGGCAGAGTGTGAGGAGAGAGAAGGGGCAAGAGGGTGGTGATGGGAAGCGGGAGGGAGGGAAGGAGAGGCGAGGGAGTGCAGAGAGAGTTAGGGGAGAAAGCTGTCCCTGCTCGGTTTCACTTTGCAAACAACAGCTGGACATTTCCCATTTTCCGGGGGTGTGAGATGTTCCTTCTGGTCAGAGCTCATGGGAAGGGAATGGTCAGCGTGGAATGACACGCACTCACTCTTTCTCCCTCACCGAGGCTGGCCTCCCTGGGCCTTGGCAACCACCCCATCTGTCAAATCCCCAGAGCACCCTATTGCCCAGGTTCACCTCGGCGAGAGACACTGTTGTGTCAGAAGATGAAACCTGGGTAGTCTGGAGCCCTGGCACGTGGCGGGAGGGTGAAAGCCAGCTGTGAAGCTGCGGCCAATGGCCCTGTGTGCCGGGATGTCTTCTGAACCACCCTCTCCACCGGGGAGGGCCCCAGGGTCTGGAATTCTTAAAGGCCTGTGCACTTGAGCTTAGCTGTCTCAACTCACATAATTCAGCTCTTTGGGCCTAAGCTTCCTCACAGCCAGCCCATCACTGACACCAACCGGGCTCTGAAGGGTAACCAGTCACTGGCACCAGCACACTGCATCCCCGTGGCTGCAGGGGAGCATCTGGAGCCTTCTCCCCAGGACCCCTGCCCTGTCTAATGGGCGGGACCCTGCACTCTCAGACCAATAACGGGGGCATCAGCAGGGCCCACCTCAGCTCCTGCTCTGGGTCTCAGCCCCCCGGCTGGGGCACCTACCGTGGGCTCCATGCCATCCACGGTGCTCTGTACGAGTCTCTTGAGCTCGTTGAGGGCAGTGCGCAGGCTGCCGGCTGGCACGTCCTTGGCGGACGAGGTTTCGGAAGACTCGTCCATGGAGGAGTCCGTGGACACGGCCGAGTCAGCGCTGTCATTCCCACGAAGGTGGGAGCAGAGGTAGCGCACCTGGCAGTAGGCTTCCCAGAGCTGCAGCCTCAGCTGGAACGGAGAAAAGACCCTTGCCTGTGGGTTCCCGAGAGGGCGGACCCGGCACACCCGTTCTGGGAAAGGGAGCGTTCTCTTTCTTTTTGTCCTGTCCCAAGACACACTGATACTTCTTTTGGGCAAAGTACGTATCTGCACAACGAGCTACCACTGACTCAATTCCAACCCACGGCAACCATCGGAGACAGAGTGGAGCTGCTCCAGAGGGTCTCCGAGTGGCTAGTGGGTTTGAACTGCCGACCTTGCAGTTAGCTGCCTAACAGTGAGCCTCCTGTGCCACCAGGGAACCTCCAGTATGTCCATATGGACACACAGTTCTTTCTCTCCCTGTCTGCTGGCCACTGCCGACGTTAGAGAAGCACAGTTCTTCCTGGCAGGACGAGACAGTGATTGGGGGATGAGTAGTTACGGGTGGCATGAAAAGCCGAGTGGGTGGAGAGGATGGCTCACCAACGTTCTAGACCGTGGTCAGTCCACACAGTAGGAGGCTGATGCACATGACTGAGCCGCTGACCCTGTCCTCTGGCCGTTCTGCTCTTAACGCCTCAGTGGGCATGGGAGTGAAGATGGAGGGCCAGGAACCTGCTGCTTCCTGACAGCTGGCAGCTGGCATCCCAGGCCCTGAGCGGGAGGGGCCCCGGGAGCCCCCAGGTGGTCTCCCTCGAGAAGGGGTGGAGGGATGCTGACGGGCACCTGCTCCCTCTCCTGCTCCAGCTCCTCGGCCTCCATGCTCTGCTCGATCTCTGACAGGAGGGAGGTGCTGGTGGCGGCAGAGCTCTGCAGACTCCTCTCTTCCGTCAGTTCTTCCACCTTCACCTGCAGCTGCCGGTAGGAGAGGCGCACCTCCTGGAGCTCCAGCTGGCTCTGATGCAGCTTTCAACCAGAGGGAAATGGTGGTCAGGTAGGCCAAGCCTCAGCACTTATGTACACACACACACACACACACACGTTCCTTCTCTCAATCCAATAGGAGAGGGGCCTCTCAGATGCTGTCAGGGAGTCAGTAGACTCTAGACTGGGGGACGCTGAGAGACAGCAACTGTTTCTTTCTTTTTTTTCCCAACTCTGTTTCTTCGCTAACAGATTTCAGGAGGAATGAGGGAAGAACGGATTTACGGATGAAAAGCGACCTCCAAAGGTTATCAATCAACTGCAATGTGTGGGCCTACTTTGTTTCTTGATTCAAGCAAAAATGGTTGGAAATTTCATGATGTGACGATTTGAAATTCTGAACATGAGTATTTGATGGTGTTTGAGAAGTCATGTTAATTTTGGAGGGGTAACAGTAGCCAACGGGTACCCTCTGAAGGCCTTGGAGCCCTGCGGGAGGAGTGGCTATTTGGGCTGCTGAGCACAGGGCCAGCCATTTGAAACCAGAGCCGTCCCCCGGCTTCTGAGGACAGTCTCGGACACCCCCAGGGGCAGTTCTGCTCTGTCCTGTGGGGTTGCTGTGAGTTGGCATTGACTTGATGCCTGTGAGCTTCAATCTTTTAGCTCACCCCCCTTTGTCACCCAGTGACTGGCTCTAAGGACCCTGTAAGACAGGACAGCGGCTCAGCGCTTTTCCACTTGTCACCTTCATGGAAGCAGACGGCTCCATCTCTCTCTTTCTCTCACAGAGGGGCTCGGGTGCACGTCACAGACCTTTCTGCCAGCAGCCCAGCCCTTAGCCACTGTGCCTGCGTCTCGTAGGTGTGGACCCGACGAAAACGACGGCCCGTGTGGCCAAACGTTCGGACAGGACACTCACA